TAAAAATAAGTAAAAAAGTTCTTATAAATGTATGTCCTAAAATGCTTAGTTTCGGAGATACAGGGTGTGGAAGTTTCATTTTTATATCAATTTTTTCCAAATAATTTCTGAAGTAACGTCAATATTTGGATTAAAATTGGTGTCTGGGAGTTTTTTGACTTGAGAAATTTGATTTTGATGTCAATATGACTCCTACTAGTAGAGGGCGCCACCTACATATTTTTTAACTGGTTTGAAGAGTAATAACTTTTTGTCCGTACCTGTATAAAACTACTGAGTAAAAAAATAAACATTTACGACGTTTTTTACGTGAAGAAGGTCTCTTGGTAAAAATTGCGACGAGTAATGGTTTTCGAGATATTTGGAGTCGAAATTATCAATACCTGTCATCACTGACATAAATTAAACATGTTGTCTAAATAGTTATTGGACTGAGATCATAAATTTGAAATGTTTTTGTACCAAAAGTTTAACAAAAACTGTTTTATCATCATTTTTTTGCAGAAAAAAATATGACTAATTTAAGAAAATAAAAATTTCCCAAATTTATTATTTTAGTGAAATAACTATCTACTCAACGTGCTTATTTTTCGTCAATAATGGCATGTATTAACTATTTCCATTCTAAATATCTTGAGAACGGTTGATCGTAGCGATTTTTACAAAGAGATATTTTTTACGTAAAAAATCAGAGATGTATATTTTTTCCCTCGGTAGTTTTATACAGGTACGGACAAAAAGTTATTACGCTTCAAAATAGTTAAAACGCATGTATTGACGTTACTTCAGAAATTATTTGGAAAAAATCGAAATAAAAATGAAATTTGTACACCCTGTATCTCCGAAACTAAGCATTTTAGGACCTACATTTATACGAACTTTTTTACCTATTTTTATCTGCAGAATATGCTGCCAAAGTTTCCGGAATACAATTCGGACCACCCTGTATAATGTTCTATACCTAAAATTTATGGTTTTTATAGAGATGTAGAAAAAGATAGATATTTTAGTTAGATTCTACAGGGTGGTCAAAATATATTTATGAATTTCAACTATTTAAAATAAAAAAAAAATCTCGAATTTTTTAAATGGCGCACCCTATACAGGATGTCCCAGAAATAAGTGCAAGTATTTTAAGGGGTGGTAGATCTCGATAAAAGAAATATATTTTCTCTTTATCGTTTTTCAAATAAGTCCTAAATAACTGCCAATTTTGCCAAAATTTTGAGAACTACTGGATCTTTCCTGGATTTTCTTTCTTGTAAATTTAATCTACCACCTATGTTGCCATATTATCAAGGAATTATGTTTTTTAACTAAAAACTAAAAAAAATCCAATTTTTTTTTTCAAAAAATTCCGAATTTTCAAAATTTTTTTTTCGCGAAAAAAACCTCATAGGCGTGTTTCTGGGGTTGAACTATACTCCCAGTTGAAATATCTGCCCTTATTTCTGGAACACCCTGTATATTATCATTTTTTTTTAGATTTTACGGAACTCTTCAACTTTTATTAAGTATGTATATGAAAGAGCATGTGTGGTTAGTAACCAAGTTAGTTGGGTTCAAACCGGTTTTTAAGATATTTGTGTTTATAGATTAAGATGTATCGATTTAAGAATTAGCAAAATGATAAAATGTAAAGAAATTGTAAATAAATTAATCTCATTGTTTTGATATTACTAAAATCGATGCATCGTAACCTTTAAATGCTTTTTATTACAAGCATTACAAACAAAGGTTTACAGTTTCGAACTAAGCAAACACACCTTTTTTATATAAAAAAGTCCTAGCTGTTTATATCTTTTGTTGAAATTACTGTATCTTAAGGATAAAGGAAGGACCACCAATAGTACTTTCTACCCTAATGGAAAGTACCCTTTCAAGGCTGTTACGGAATTTTACACCATCGTCATTCGCTTGGGCATAAAAATGTGTTTAAGAGTATCAAAAATTGGTTTTCCATGCATGTTCTTAAAAATAAACACAAAATATATTATTTTTATTTACCGTTTTGACGTCTGTAACTCCCTCGGGATGTATTTTAGGGCGTATGTTTATAGGAACTTTTTGTTTAGAATTACTCACCTAAGTTAGATACACAATTTTTTGACACCCTGTATAATGCATAAAGATAAATAAAGAAAAAATACATCGTTTTTCCAGTATTTTCAATCCAATATAATAGTTATTTCTAAATTGTTATTGATTATGTACCTTTTAAGCGGGTTGACACTGTCCAAGTTTATTTAGATCAAGTGCACTTGGATGCTGCCAATACAAGCACACTTAAATGGAGGCAGTGCGTCTCTCACTTATACGCTGCTTGAATCGTATTAGCTGTTTGACCCAAGTCGAATTAGAAGGGTTCGTCAGCTTAGTTACTTAGATGCATCCATATAAGTATACTTTCACTGCAAAATAAAAGTGTACTTGACCCAGGTACCAAGTAACCTTGTCAACCAGCTTTTGCGTCTGTTATACGTTTATTATCAAAGTGCTTTTAAAAAAGTAATGAGGTTATTAATAAGTGCATAACATACGTCATGATAATTTATTTATTTCATCTACTGTGAATAATAAGCTTTACTCACTGATATCGGATCAGCCCAGTCCGATACTATTCACGAAGATTACTTTACTGATCAATCTCCCCAGTGATCATTTTATCTTCGAGGGTAAATGTTCTAGGTGACGTTGTTGTTACGTTATTTAGGCCCTTCTTTTGCGTCAAATAGCACACACAAAAAATGTCGACACAAGGAACTGTTACGAACTGGTTGTTATGTTACTGAACGAAATTATTAACCATAAATCGGAATACATATTGCAATTTTTTTAGCAAAATTAATTTATTAAAAAACTACACGAAAATTTTTACGGCGCATATAATTATTGGGCTCCTGCAGGAGGAATTACGCCTAGCTTACCTTAATACGCCTTAAGCTTGATTTTCATGCATCCGTTGTCCGACGATACGATGGAATTTTACGAATACGATATTAATTTTATTGGTTGAATTTAAAGCCTTCGATTGGTTAACCGTTTCTAACCAATCAAAGTTTTTAAATTCAACCAATAAAATTAATATCGTATCATCGTATCGTCGGATAACGGATGCATGAAAATCAAGCTTTATGCCTTAATACACCTAGCGTACTGTTAAAAAAACATTGTATTATGTATGGGTAGCCATTTAGTAAGAAACAAAGTATCATGATGTGTATCTTTTGCTGCATACCTACTGTGTTTACTTTGCGTATATTTGCATACTCTAACTACAAATTGCTTTATAACTACTGAACACATATTGGCCTGTTTGCCAGTTGAATAAAAAATTACTTATTAAGATTTGGAGGCCCCCTAAAAGAAGGGGCCCGGGGCGGACCGCCCCCCCCCTAGTCCGCCACTGCATACGACCAATTGCACACACATGGTTCGAAACTGTTACTTTTATGCGCACAGTATACGTGGGAAGTGAAGCACGTTGACAACGCATTTTAGGCAAAAATTCGGAATTCTGTCAATGCATGTGCGAACTAATACACAAATAAGACACTTATCACTCTTTTTAATACTACATACTTATTTTTTTAAATTTACCAAGAAAATTATTCTCTCACACATCGTTGTCGCAAACTTACTAAATGGCTACCCATACATAATATAATGTTTTTTTTAACAGTAGGGGAGACCGGTATCAATTGTAACAGGGGTCAATTGTAACACTCGTATTTGCAGATCCACCTGTTATCGAAAGAAACAACTAATTGCACCGTCGTGTTCGTTTAGACACCCGACTGAATCGGCAACAGTGCAACAGTCATTTAATTTTCACTGTTCGTGTATGGTCTTGAATTTGTGCTTTCAATACTAATTTGTAAGTATTTTACCTATTATCAAAATGTAAATCGTTCGTTTATGATTACGTACAGGTCCTAATTGTTTAGTATGCTAAAATTAGTGTTTCTTCACGAACATTTCAAGCTATATTGAAGTTTATGAATTTGAGGTTATGTATAAATAATTTGCGCGGGTATTTTCTGATGTGCCCTGGTGTCGGTGGTAACATTTGCATAGGTGTCGTTTGTAACATGTTACAACTGACACCAGTTCGGTAGCCACTGTTAATTTTTAATAAACAATCAGCTAATATATTGCTCTTACTATAGGATAACTCACATATTACTTTGCTTTAAAAAAATCTGAAATTTCAATATTCCATGGGTATTGGTCTAAATTATAAGAAAATGCATTTTCTACGAAAACTTGTAGAGATAGGGTAAAAAATGGTATAATATAATTTGATAGACAATTAAATTGTACATCTAATTTTCCTAAAATATACAGGGTGTTCCATTTAAATTAAACAAGTTATTGTCGTTTAAAACTAGTAATTATTTAATATAAAATTTTGGACACTCTGTATAAGGTAGTAAAAATTTTATTATTGCTACATAATATCTGATTAATACATAATTTTCAGTAAATATTTAGTATTAAAAACTTTGATACCCTTGGAGAAATGAAGCCTTAAAAATTTTACTGCAATTTCATAAAATTGAAAATATTTCAAAATGGTAAGGTTTAAGTGTGATAAACCTCAATCAAATTTATCTTTATTTCAATCGTAGAATCCAAAAATAGAATAATATACAGGGTGTTCCATTTAAAAAATAAAACTATAATATTTTTTACTTATTTGGAACACTCCGTATCTTGTAAAAATATTTTTAAATTGTAGCTCTAATCGTCCTTCAACGAACCCAAAACTTACAATTTGCAAAAATCTAATAGTTTAGCTACAATACTCCGTGTCGTATGTGGTGTACAACTCTGTACATAAATTTAGCTATGCTTGATGACTTTTTTATAGTTCAAAATGTTTCACGTTATTTAAGAGTCCAGAGGTGACTATATTATTTTGTGTTTAATTTTTGTAGCTTAAAGACTATTTTTTTTAAGGCATCAATTTCTTTTTAAGGGCATTCGTGAATATCGAAAAATACGAAGAGGAGATAAAAGTCGAAGCTATTGATATATCGTATGGCATTACTAAAACCGCTGAATACGAGTTAACAAAAGCCAATTTGTTGTTGCATTGTGATCAATGTGAAAAAAGTTTTAAGTCAAGAAAACAATTAACCGGTCACAGAAAAAGCGTTCACTCAGAAAAACGTTACCAATGCCCCAAATGTCCCAAGAACTACAAAATTAACAGCCAATTGAATAAGCATCTGAAACTACACGATCCGACGAATAAAATCCAGTGCGATATCTGTTTGAAAGAATTTTCAAATAAACATTGTTTCGATCTGCACATGAAGAGACACAACAAGCAATACGTCACGAAATGCGAACAGTGCAATACAAAATTCATTGCGGAATATGAATTGAGGAAACACGTGGCCGTTAAACATAACAAATTATTTCTTTGCGTGGAGTGTGGTAGTAGATACAGCACTAAAAATGCTTTGGATTACCATATGCTAACTCACGATCCCGATTTCAAAAAAACCGTATACAAATGTGACCAAT